GGGCAGCTATGTAAGCACCTGGGGAGCAATTAGGGATTACCATAGGTGTCTTGCTCAGGACAACATGGGCACAGCCGGGAGTCGAACCGCGACTTTCTGGTCCCAAGTTGGCTGCACTACCTCTACACCATCTCGACCCTAATATGTGCTACTGTAAATATAGAAATACAAACTGTCATGAACATGACATGGGTTTTGACCTGTTGTATCTTTGTAACACCTGTACAAAAACATAAATTAAATTTTGGCTTTATAAAGGAACATCTCATTACCAGGATTTTTCAGAACATTGTGTAGCTGTTAGTTGAATGGCCCATATGTTAACAAAAAAGGTTCAATCATGTCATCTGGACCAGTTCATTTAAGTGAGAAACATTTCGTCCCCCATCCGGAGGACTTCCTCAGTCTGTGGCCTGCCAACCAGATCTGTCCCATAGATAGCCTTCACTGCTGTGTTTCAAGCCAACCACCTGTTGGAATCTCAGAAGTAGGCTTTAACACATGCAAAACACACCCATCCAAAACAATCATTTGTCATGTACATCAATCAAATGTTTTAGGCCCAATGGCCAACTTGCTACTCACAGAAACAGCCTGATGACAACCAAGGCCAAAGTGGTACAGAAAAATTTTTGTAGTCTCCATCATCCAGGTAGATAACAACAAAAAATGTTTAAATTGTGTCATCTGGACCAGTTTCTTTATGAGAGAAACTTTTCATCCCCCATCCGGAGGACTTTTGTCAGTTTGTGGCCTGCCAACCAGATCTGTCCCATAGATAGCCTTCACTGCTCTGTTTCAAGCCAACCTCCTTTTTTGTTATCTACCTGAATTGTAGTAGGGTTGAATAGGTCACCTTAAAATGTTGTGGTTCCTGCATATTTCCTTCCCAGAGTTACAGAATAAAGTTGATGTATTTGGGAACAAAGTAACTTCTAGTACCCCTCATTCTTCTTGTATTGTATGATCTGCCCTGGCCTGATGGAGGTTGCAGTTGGACATGGTGAAACCCCCTGCTGTGGCCCTCCAGGGGATATTTACTGAACAGTCACACCCCTTGCACACCCAGAGAAAGCTTACCATCTTGTGTGTAGACCGGCCGTAACAATGCAATTACCACATGGCATATGCGTTCCTGTTGGCACAATTGTTGCTCTTTAAACTGACTCAGACGCCTTTGTTGGCTTCTCACCTTTGTCTGAGCATCACTGTCAAACCGCTCTTTCTGTGCTGAAAGCTGGGAAGTGCTGAAAGCTTGAAATTCAAGGGCACAATAACTCTAGCACTCAACAGGCTTTTCTCAAACTGTAACTGAATAAGTGGTTGAAGAAAAATTCAAGAGAAAGGGCCTTTAAGATTTGTGAGAAAATGCGAACGGTTTGCTGGAGGAATTAGAAATCACAAGTTCCTCAAGAAATGCCTCGAATCCCCTCATTTCAATCAAAAGGCTGCACATTTAAAGTATTAAAGAAACCACTGAGACTCAGTTTACCTCTGCCTCGCAAATCGCACAGGAGCTGAGATTCTCTCCAGAGAAGTTATGGACATGCTGCAGCTCCATCCATTTTCCGAATATACAAGCCTAGTTAGACCACAACACTTACTGTTCTGTGTGTAATGATGTGTCCTGCGCTGACACAAGGTAAGATAAATGTAATCTCTCGTTTGTACTTGTTTATGCAAGTCCCTCAGGCGAAGTCGTGACACTGGAGTTCCAACTACCTGTGCTATATCAATGTGGTGTTTAGGATGGAGACTTGACTCCACTTAGAGATGATGGTTCTGTCTCTGCGGGTTTTTTACACCCACTCCTATTATGCGCTGCCATGTAATAAACGAGTCCAGAAACTTTGGCTTGGCTATGCAATGCATAGCGATGCAATTTGACCGTGAAGTGATGAAAGCTGCTGGTTTATTGTTAGTGACCGCTCTCGGTTTAGTTTGGTGTTATTTTGATGTTTTGTGTGACTGTCCGAGAACAAACGTTTCTGCAGATAAGTTGGGGGAAAAAAATAGGGCAAACCATGAATTTTACACTGCCATCGCCTGAAAACTAGTAGAACAAAGCAATTCTGGTTTTAAGCTTACATTTTTCCCGTTATTCTTTGGAAATTTTGTATTTTCTAATGGTTTACAGCAGAAATTTGCCAGCGAAGTGGAGTGAAGTGGATTTACTTGCTTTCCTCTTATAGCAGAGGTCAATTTTAATTCTGGTTGTTTTTTTGCTAGGGTGCTTTTTAAAGACAGTGGAATTAATGCAAAAAACAAAACAGCTAAATAAACCTGAAACATTGAGCTGAAGGGGTGCACTATATTTGGCAAACAATATTTGCAAATCACTATCATAATGGCAAAATCAATTGTGACAAAACCAATTTTTCTTTTTTTCTTTGTTTTTTCCGTTGTGTGTATTTATTATGTTAAGTATTGTACAAATCTGGTGTGTGAGTTGAGGGCAGTGGGGTCCATCTGCTCTTTGAATGTGTTCTTGACATGCAGTTTGTGTTTGCGATTTATATTTTTGCAACCCTTAATGAGTCTAATGTTGCAATGAAAATAAATCTTTACAAAAATGTGCAGCTCTTTTAAAGCAGTACTGCATGTAATTTTTTTTTTTAGCATTTTCCTGGAATTTTTTTAAATACTTTTTGTGCACCGCAAACAATTTTCTTTAGTTTGCCACTTTCTTCTGTTTAACCATCAGCTCCTCGGGCTGTGTTCTGGCGTGCGTGAGTCTGCTCTCATCTACCCTCCAGGCTGCTGGTGTATTTGTCGAGCGCTTGTTTTATGCCACTAGAGGAACTAATTTACTGCCATTCAGTCGTGTTCTGTATGAAAACAATTCGTATAGACTTGAAAATAGTTTTAGCCACGTAATCCATCACAGTAACTCTGAAGACTTAATTTGCTTTAGTTTCCCAAATTGTCACCCAGGATGAGTGGATTTTCCTGTCAGGGTGGACCTTAAGTAATGCCAGTCTTATTGTAAGTCACTTGAGACCCAAACTTAATTAATTTAAATGAAATGTTTGCACAGTAATTCATTTTTTTCTCTCAAAACACAATGCATAGCAATTTGGCAGGAGTAAAGCATTACTACGTTGGCCATAATTCAAATCAGGTGTTTATAGCATTTTGCAAGATTAGTTTGCTACAGGCCCATTATTTTCTGTAATATAATATAGTAAGTTATTTTCATGTGTAATTATAGTTCCGTTTTTTTTTTTCCTACCTGAACATACTTACCAGACTGTTTCAAATGGTGTTACGCTTAGTTGGCTATATGTTAAAGAAATTCTGTCTTGTTGCACTCCTCCGTGAAGTTTATAAGAATTCCTGGCTCCACGGGAACACATTTTTTATTTAAAATTTCTACCTGCAGTTTTTAGAACACTGTTATGTTGCAGTCGGCTGTGTTCGGTCAGAACGGTCACCAGGCCGTGTGCCACAGCCAGACCAATTAGCCGTCAAAGCGAGACGAATGACGGAGGTTAACTGGACCTTGAAAGGATGGAGCCATTTCTATTTGACTGTTGTGTTAGGTGATTGAGTACGGTGTGTATTTGTGTCTGCTTGTGTGCGTTTGTTGCTGTAAACTAAGGTTCAAATGATGACAAATAAATTCCTGCAGTGGGTGCATCCATCTATTATTTGATCTCGCGTCATCTTGAGATTAAAACCAAACACCTTGCCGTCTCCTACCTGACTGGGAGTGCTGGAGATGGAAAATTAATTTCTGATTTCTCACTTTTTTTTAACAAACTAATTAAGGCTTGTAGGATGCATCCTGAGGCAGCATTGAAACAGCTGAGACAGTTCAGTAAAGGTTCAGATATATCAAGGAACAGCAGGAGCTCTGCAGGTTGGCACGGTGAAGGAGGGAACTGGAGAGTGATCCAAGGAACAAGGGTATGGCGAAAGAACTAATTAGATGAAGCTGGAACAGTTGTGTGTAAAACACTCCCTTTTGTCTTCTGCTTAGACTGACAGAGCTGAGGACACACTGGGGCACACAAGCTGGTGTTGGCAGTCTGCAGCTGCAGCTACTATCAATTTACAGAATGTGAACAGCCACCAGTAGGTTATGTAGCCATGTGTAGCCAGGAACTGAGCAAAAACCTTGTTGTGCATTCATTTCTATAATCTTGTCAAGACGAATGGTTTAGTACAACTTAGCACACGCTACTTCGATATATTACAGATATCTTTGTTCCCTCAAACAACTAAAATCTTTACAGCCATATTGCTTTCAGTCTGTAATTTCTTTGGCTGTATTATGTATCATGTATGAATGATACGGTATGATACAGTATCTATGTTACAATCATAATTCATCTCAGTGTTGCTCACTACCTGTCACACAACCTGTGTAGTAAATGTTAATGTGCAATATGTACCATGTGCATTTTAGCTTTAATTACTACCATGAAATACTTAATCATACAAATTCATCCTGATTGCACTGTTAAAATTCTACCATGTTGTTGATTACTATTTTCTCTTTAGGACCTTGTAAATTTTATAATTACTTTTTCACTTTTTGGTACTTTTTTTTTGGTACCCTTATGTATTTGTATTTCTTGTTTGTTCTTTGTTTTGTTTTTTTAGCTAATCAAATCGGTTCTTCTCATCCTGAGCATTTCATTGTACTGTTAACCTTGCATATGACAACTAAACACAACTTGAACTTGAATTTATGTTAAAAAAAAAAGAAGGTTTTAAGATATTTGGTGCTAGGATGCTAAATATATGCACAAAAATAAACAGTGGTTCAACCATTTCAACTAGAGTTCACAAGTGGTAGCATTTTTCTATACATAAACACAAAATTAAAGTGAAATGTGTAGTTAAAACAATAATAAATAAATACTATTAAAATAAAAATGGAGTGAATTGTGCTTGCTTAGAGAAAGGACAAAATTCTATTGTTCATGGTTTGTTATGCTGTTTAGTCATGAGATTTTGTTGTTGTGTTTTTGTGTTGTTTTGACATTCTCCAGCTGGCTCTGAAGAGCTTCTCGATGCCAAAGTCATGTTGTCTTGGCTTCAGCTACTGACCCCAAACCACCAGACTCATTTTCTTCTTACTGGAGACATTTTTCAATAGAGCATATTTCATAACGCTGAAGTGTCACCTTCATGTTCACATCCCAGTCTGAGTAATTTGGATCTGCTCCATCTCACTGGTCCTGATGTAGATGGTTTTATTTTTGGATGCTGATTTGCTTTACTCCAGGCTATTTAAAGGCTGACAGCGAGTGCATTCTGGCAGTGGGAGACTGGGCACGGTGAGTGTTTGGATTTCAACCCTCGCAGGTGCTAGCAGATCTTGATGACTTGCTCCTATATGACTGAATCAAATGTGCCACTGAAGAACAAGGGAGAGGTGGTGGAGCCACAGAGTGAATGACCTGTCAGATACCTGCTGTTTACATAGAGTCAAACAGGCAGAGACCAAAATCCTCCTGGGAGTCCCAAATTGGATTGTCCAACTTGTTGCTCTGACCTCCTGCAGATATTTCTACTCATTTTTATGGAAGAGAGTGAAGGTGCGTGCAGGAGATTAAAAAAAAGAAAGAAAAACTTCAATAGAATTTAAATTTGCTTTATTAATTTATGTAAATGATGCAGAGCAGCTGTTGGAAAGTGTTAAATTGCTTATCCAAGCATCACCATGTAGGCTGTATGTAAATTCAGGTGCGCTAATTGAAATTCGATATCGTTCTCGTCAGCACAGGTTGTTGGCCTTCTCCACTGATCTGCCCTCTTCCTCTCTCTTCCTCCTCCTCTCCTCCTCTCCAACCATACCGGCTTGCCCTCCAACCTTCCCTAAGTGGGTCTTTAATTTAAAAGTAAGCGCATTAACTTTTTCAAACACAGGCAAGATAAAGTACCCTTTGCCAACACATGAATAAACGGTGAAATAAGTAACGCACACGCAGACATCCACACACAAACATGCGAGCAAAGATCGATAAACAGTGGTATTGAGGCATCTCTTGAGGTCTGTGTCTGGCTCAGTGTGATGGTTGATTTATTTGTTCTTTCCAAAGAGCGGTAAATCAGTGCTTACCCTCAGGCCAGCTTGGCTCCATACAGCCATGCAACCCTACTTAGTGTCCCCCCTTCAAACCCTGCTGGCTTCTGTCCAACCTCTTTCTGTTTATGTTTGTGCTTGCAACAAAAATTACATTTTCAAATTCACTTTTCACCACTTTGAAAAATGCCCGTGGACTATAAAGGCCATCGGAGGCTCTCTATGTGAGTGAAATACCCATGTGGGATGCAACCCCCCCACGATATTTTCTGTTATTATTCTGAAAGAGAAAGGTGAAAGAGTTGGCTTTTGGGTAATTGCTACTCAAAGGTGGAAAAAAAGGGAAATAAAGAGGGCTAACCTTCCCCCAGGGCTCTCTTAGGGGTTGGTGCTGTTTGTCGTTCCCTTTTCCTCTCTTTTTGCCCTTCGTCTCATGCCGCTGCCCTAAGACTGTGAGCGAAGCAGTCCTCGCTCTCACCGTTGAGACAGAAAACCTTTTAGAATTATCCAAGCGTTCTTTCCCTCATTCTGTTGCACACATTTTCTTTGTTTACCCATGATAAGATACATGGCTAGGGGCCACACATCTGATGAAAAAGTTGCTTGTTTACTTTGTCATCCTTTCAGATTGCATTTTTTTCGATCGATGCACACTTAATTAAGATTTCCTTCGCTCTTTTAGTCTTCTGACGTGTCACGTTGAAAGGAAGGTGAAGCAAGACCAAGTTGGTCTTGGCTAGAACAAGTTAGTTTGTACAACTCTGCGTAGCTTTTAACTAATGTTGAGGCAAACTGCTAGTCAGGCAAGCTAATTATCTTTGGCTGAAGTATCATTTGGCTTGAAGTCCATCCCTACAGGGTGTACACGCACAGTGGCAGCTGGTGCCCACATCGCTCACTGGGGATGTGACAAAGCTAAGGACTTAACAAATCTGACTTGTTCTTCGTTGAACGCTTTAATTCAGAACACATTAGGGGCTGAGATGTTGTAGAGACAGGGCAGCCGACTCGGGATCCAAAAGTCCCAGGCTCGATCCCCAGCCATTGCACATCTAGTGGTGTCTCTGAGCAGCACACCTAACCCAAAATGCTACCTGGGCACTTTCAATAGCTGCCCACTGCACCACCTGGTGGTGGATAGGTTAAATGCAGAGATCCAATTTCGCATTGTATAGGAACATACAATGATGCCACTATATAACACATTATTATTATTATTACATTATGCCTTTTGACATTATTTCTCCAAAAATTGGGTGGAATTTTATTGTTATTATCAAGCTTTAAGCTAGGGATGCACAATATTGGATTTTTGGCCAATATCCGATATGTTTAAAATTATTTGGCCAATAACTGATACCAATACCAATATTTTTCCCCTAGACCTACTTGCAGAGACTACATAGTTTTCTCTGCTGTGGAATGAAAATACTACATTATTCTGCAAGGTCTTTGTCAGTTTGGCCTGCTACCAAATGCACATGCCAAAAAGGGAGCTGAAAGTGATTGGATTATGTTACTGTCAAATTTATTTTTGACATTTACTCTCTCTAACACAATGACAACTCTTGAACAGTGCAAATTTGTACATTTCACAAAGCTAAACTCAGCCTGTTCACAAGCGACAACTGAAACGCGCACAGGTAGTAGTGCATTAATAGATGTACTTGACAGTTTCTTAAATGAAAAATTAACTTAAAACAAATGCCTTTTATATCGGTGAGTTATTTTGATGGAATGGCCAATGTCCTATATTTAACTTTATCGCTAATATCGGCCAATATCGATACCACGCTGATGATATCGTGCATCCCTACTTTAAGCAATTTCCGCCATTTCCCACTATATCCATGCAGAATGTCATTCTCCTTATAGAAACAATTGGCTCAAAATTATATTTTGGGTTTTAGGACTAGATTTTTACTGTGGATCCTTTAAAAATGCTACATAACTTAAAGGCTGAGACTGAATAAATGTAAACCGTGACAAGAAAGGTGTTTGTGAAATCTCATCAAGAGGTAAACAGGTTTTCACTTGACACTCAGCAGTTGGCAGAGCTGATCAGAAGGAGTTTTTTCTATATCGCAGGTGCTAAAAGAGCTCGGTCAACATTTAGACTTGATCTCTGAGAGGGATGCACTAATGTTTGGAAGATCTGAGCGGCCTTGTGGGCCTGTGGGATGAGAAACTCACTGATGAGTGGTGAAGCCAATTTGCTTCCTGCCTGAAAGTAATTGGGGAAGAGTTCTTTTTGTACAAAATTTAACTGGCAGGCTGTGTAATAAAGTGCAAACGTAATATTGGAACACTGTGAAGTCTTTCATTGGAATTGTGTTTAAATATTTTAGACTAATTGTAGCTCTGTTTTACAAAAAAAGTCACATGAAGCATTCTGAGAGATTCTTATTACTCATGTTTATGATTCATGCTGCTAAACTTTGTATGACTCGTACAGAACTCCAGTTTTTTTTTTCTGTACAAAACAAATGAAACTTTAAATGAGAAACATTGCCTTTTGTTCCTTTTTAACTTTAACCACTTTTAGTAGAGGCTACAATCTTGTGCTTGTTACACCTTTTATAACCTGACATGGTCAAAAACACTAAAGAACAATAATTTGAAAAGGCCCAAAACCACCAATTTTAATCAACTGATCAATAAGTGCATTCTTTTTGTGATAAAGACAGATGTTAGATCTGATGTTAGCAGAAGAATGTGACTAGAATGAGGAATGGGTGGACACGTTTTTGTCGGTTTTTCAAAACAGTGACCAACATTACATTTAGAAGCCACTCCTCCAAAAACTACTTTTCATTTTTTATTTGAATTTGCAAATAGACAATCCAAACAATAAAAAGTGAGTAGCTTTTAAGAAAAAAAAATCCCCTTATGTGGAAAATAACAACAATTAAAAGTTATATCTTCGCTGTAGGAGTTTTTTGTCTATTTCAAACATGTCAGAAGGTGGGAACAGCTCCATCTGATCCAAAAATATTTAGACGTTTTAGAAGATTGCTTCAGATTTATTTGCTTTTTTTGTAAAATGCTGCTGGTTATGGATCCTGGTTGTATTTAAAAGCAACGAGATGTCTTTTCCCCCCCCACATAAAATCTCTCAGTAAGAGTTGTCAGTTGTTTAGTGCTAAAAAATAATTTGAAAAATGACTGCAATGGTTGTAGCAAAGCTCAAAGCATCAGAGTTACTTTGTGATTGGGGAAGGAGCGTGAGGTGATGCTGGTGCTTTCCCATCCGATTGGACTGATTTTGCCATGGGCGGGTTTTCCACCGCATGCATCCTAACTTGCAAGGGAGTTATTGATGAAGTGATAAAATCCATGAACGAGGGGAAATGATGGGGAAGATTATGTAAAGGTCATGGATGTTTTCACTTACGTGTGTGAAGCCAAGAGATGCTTTTTGTCTACTCGGAGAGGATTCTGATCACTAATAAACTCTGACGCCTTCAAGAAATGTGAGCTGTGAAGCAGAGGTTGTCTTGACCTCAGCATCTGTCTGATAATGGGTATTTAAGCTTTTGCTAACCCTTTCTCTGTGGGCAGACCTTGGAGACCGAGCGACATGTTACACCTTGTGTGCTTGTTCTCAATTGCTGCACCCCCTTGCAAGGACATTAAACCTGGTTTGAAAAGATATTCTTGTCGTCTTTGTGGCTATTTATTTAATGTTATGATAGTTATCCAACATTTTGTACTTTGTTACTCCACATGAATCAAAACTAGTCTTAATCTGCCGTATGAGGTGTAGTAGTTGACTTGATAGAAAACCACCAATAAGATTGTTTGATATCTTTGTTAGTGTGGATTTTTGCACACTTCATGCCTTTTTTGTTCAAATATTTGCTTTTTTTTAATCAGGTGGTCACTTCTGAGGGTTTTTACAGACACGTACTGTATTATGTTGTATCAAGTTGCTGTAAAATCAAACATTTAGGTTAGTTATACAATTTTCATAAGTTCAGTGTCTTTATTTCTCTTATTTTAAATTTGTGTTTTTGACAGAAAGTAAATCTATTTAAAAAACACATGTCATTACCATTTTTTTTTTTGCCAAGTTCCCTGTTTATATAGTGTTTACTTTATGGACAAGTATTTGACTTTTTAAGTGTCTTCTAAATTAGAGGCTTGGTTTAATGGAG